AATATACGTACTTACGGGAAAAGCATTCCAAATAGAGGAATCAAATTTGCAAAGACCTTGAAGGAACACGTCTAGTAATTTCAACAAGCTAAAAGGAAGCCAGTGTGGCTAGGACAAGAGGGCAAAGTAAGAGGAGATAAACCAGGGAGGGAAAGCGTCGGGCCTTGTAGGCTTTTATAAGAATTTAGGGCTCTCTTACTGTTAGTAAAAAGTATGGCTCAATTTTAAGCAAAGAAATGAGAAGGTAGTGTTTAGGTTTTTAAAAAGATTGATCTGCCTTGTTGAGAATAGACTGTGAAGTGATGCGGGTGAGGCTGGAAGGCTAGTTAGGTGTTTTCTGTGCTAATCCAGGTGGAAGATGATGATGACTTAGACTAGGATAGCTGGGGTAGAAATGGTAAGACTTGGGAAAATGCTGGATTTATTTTAAAGGTAGAACCAACAGGATTTGCTGATATTATTTCAAGAGACAGGACCAAAAGTAATAGTACCCACAGCAATAGATGATCCCTGCCAGTCCTCTGCCTGGGAAGGCTGTTCTCATCCTCATCTCTTTTGCATTTCTCCATTCTGTTATTTAGGATAAATCCCGGAGGAGTTTTTAGTGCCCTTGTCCTTTTACCTAAACTGTTATAATCCTATACAAAAACTGTAATGGAAGATTTTGGAATAATAGTATCTAGTACGTGGATTATGATTTACTGATAGTTTTCCTGGAAAATGTTTTCTATTTTTTCTCTCAGTCTCTCCCCACCCCCCACAATTTGCATGTATACCCAGAAAAAGATGAAGATAGAATCCATAAATATTAAAAATGCTTATCTCTGGGTGGTACACTATATGTATTATATATTCTCTTTTTCACATTCCTTTATTTTCAAAATTTCTATGATAAATTGGCTTTACATGTAGAAAAATCTTAATTTTTTTTTTTTTTTGAGACAGAGTCTCACTGTGCCACCCTCCGTGGAGTGCCATGGTGTCATAGCTCACAGCAACTTCAAACTCCTGGGCTTAAGCGACTCTCTTGCCTCAGCCTCCCAAGTAGCTGGGACCACAGGCACCCACCACAACATCCAGCCATTTCTTGTTGTTGCAGTTGCCATTGTTGTTTAGCTGGCCTGGGTTGTGTTCAAACCCACCAGTTGCAGTGTATGTGGCCGATGCCGTAACCACTGTGCTACAGGTGCCGAGCTTAAAATGTTAAATATTTTAAAAATAAAATAAGTTTATGTTTTTTATTTTTAAAATAATACACACTGCCTGGGTGCAGTGGTTCATACCTGTAATCCTAGCACTCTGGGAAGCTGAGCTCAGTAGTTCGAGACCAGCCTGAGCAAGAGTGAGACCCCTTCTCTACTAAAAATAGAAAACCCAGCTGGGCATTGTGAATCCCTGTATTCCCAGTTACTCAGGAAGTTGAGGCAAGATGATTGCGTAAGCCCAAGAGTTTGCGGTTGCTGTAATGCTGTAAGCTATGATGGCATAGCACTCTACCCAGGGCACAGAGTGAAACTTTATCTCAAATTAAAAAAAATAAAATAAAATAAAAATGCACATGTGCAAATATTCAGAGTACAGAAGATTTGTGGTGGTAGAGGTTTGGTGGATGGGGAGAATGGGAGTAACCGCTTAATGGATTAAGGATTTTCTTTTGGAGTAACGAAAATGATTTCTAACTAGATAGGACAGTTAGGTGTTGTCTATGGCTCAGTGAGTAGGGTGCTGGCCCCATATACCAAGGGTGGTGGGTTCAAACCTGGCCCTGGCCAAACTGCAACAAAAAATAGTCAGACTTTGTAGCGGGCGCTTATAGTCCTAGCTACTCAGGAGGCTGAGGCAAGAGATCGCCTAAGCCCAAGAGCTGGCAGTTGCTATGAGCTATGACGCCATGGCACTCTACTAAGGGTGATAAAGTGAGACTGTCTCTGAAAAGAAAAAAACTAGATAGGTCAGTTACACACTGTGAATGTACTAATTGCCACTGAATTATACTCTTTAAAATGGTCAAAATAGTGAATTTTATGATATATGTATTTTACCATAATCATAAAAACAATACTTTGGAAAGTAATATAAAATAGGGGAGAAAATTGGCTTGATGGGTGCTGGGAGGGAATGGGGGCAAGTGTAGCTAGCTTCTTTGCCTCCTTGACCCTGGTGCGGCACCATGAAGTTCTGGACTTCAGAGCACGTCTTTGACCACCCATGGGAAACTGTTACAGACAGCTGCAATGAACCCAAGTGTGGTTGGAGCTGATGTGCTGGACAGACATCTAGATCAGTCTGGAAAGTTGCACAGCCACAGACTTCTCAGCACAGCATGGGGACTGCCTTCCATTGTGAAGTCTCTTACTGGTGCAGCAAGAACCAAAAGATATGATCCTAGAGAGAAGATAGTGGGACTTAAATCTACTAATATTTCATTTACAAATACAGTTTCAGTAAATGAGAGACTTAGTATATACAAACCACATCCTCAGGACCCAGCAAAATCCATTTTGACTCAAGAAGCCACAATTGGGCGGTGCATGTGGCTCAGTGGGTAGTGGCGGGTTTGAACTCGATCCTGGCCGAACTGCAACAAAAAAATAGCCAGGTGTTGTGGTGGGCGCCTGTAGTCCCAGCTACTTGGGAGGCCAAGGCAAGAGAATCGCCTAAGCCCAGGAGTTGGAGGTTACTGTAAACTGTGATGCCACAGCACTCTACCAAGGGGGATAAAGTGAGACTGTCTCTTAAAAAAAAAAAAAAACGCCACAATCACTGTGAAGGGAGTCAGCCTTAGCATTTACCTTGAAGGACTGATGGCATATCTTCAAATGCTGATAAAGGCAGAGAAGTAATGGAATGGTAATACATAAATTAAATGTGGAGATTGAAGAACTGACAGCTTCAGCAAGAGCAGGCATAGGGACTCCGATGGTGGCAGCAGCATTTGTAGAAAAATGATAATAAAAGTTTGTAGACAACTTTGGGTCCCCCAGGTCTCTACAAACTGGCAATATATTTATTTTTTATTTAAAAAATACAACTATATTTTAGGTATAATTTTTTTTAATAAGCTGATGTAAGGCTATGTGACTTTCCATCAAAACAAATGCTCCTAAATCAAAGGGATCATCTGAAATTAGTGTTGTTTGAAATGACTGTCTGGTTTTGAGGGTTCCAGTATTTACGTGAAAATTTAATGTGTGTTTTTTATTAAGTACTTAGAAACTGCTATTGACATTTAGTCTCCTAGAATTTTATGCCCCGGAGCTGTACCTGGCTTTGGACCAACCCCAGAACAAAGCAGAACCACCTCTTCCGTACACACAGTCACCCTGCTGCTGGAATGACGGAACTCACTTTACAAGGAGAAATTACGGACTTTTAAAAGATAGTAATTTGTATAAAATAACTTGCTCTGCTATAAACCACCATTAAAAATCACAGTGTTTTAGTTTTGTACTTAAATATTTTTAGCATGAAAATGAACTGTAAAGTAATACATGGCTCCAACAAAAGTATGATTTTATTGTATTAAAGGGTACTGTATTGATTTGCCAAAGCTTTCTGACTTAGTAAAGGTGCTGTGTTACCTTCCTTGGCGAAAAAAAAGAAAGAAAATTCGCTTGAGTGCTACTTCCTAATCATGGTTAACATCGTTACTCTTATTAAGTACACTTAGTTTTGTTTTTAGGTACCTGTATGAGTTTCCTAGGACTTCCATTACAAATGACTATAAACTTGGTGTCTCAAAACAATAGAAATGTATTTATAGTTCTGGAGGCCAAGTATCTGAAATCCCAGTGTCTGCAGGCTTGGTGGTTCTGGCAGTTCTGAGAGAGTCTGGTCCATGCCTTTCTCCTGTCTTCTGGTGGGTGCCAGCCACCCTTGCCTTGCTCATGCATTACTCCGCTCCTGCCTTTGTCTTCACGTGGAGTAGGCCCAGTCTAACTCAATATGACCTCTTTTTAATTTAATTACATCTGCAAAGACTATTTCAAATAAGCTCATATACTGAGGTTCTGGATAAACACAGATTTGGGGTGGAAATTATTCAGCTCCATTACAGTATTTTTTAATTTTTATATGGTTGATATTTTATGTAAATAATTTTTTTATACTTTTATTTTTCTGTTTCATAGATGGCACAAGGCTCATTTTAATAGTTTGGTATTTCATCTAGTGGCTAATTTTTTTTTTTTTTTTTTTTTTTTTTTGAGACAGAGCCTTAAGCTGTCTCCCTGAGTAGAGTGCTATGGCATCATAGCTCACAGCAACCTCCAACTCCTGGGCTCAAGTGAGTCTCCTGTCTCAGCCTCCCAAGAGGCTGGGACCACAGGCGCCTGCCACAACGCCCAGCTATTTTTTTTTTGGTTGCAGCCGTCATTGTTGTTTGGCGGGCCTGGGCTGGATTTGAACCCGCCACCTTAGGTGTGTGTGGCTGGCACCTTAGCCACTTGAGCCACAGGCACTGAGCCTAGTGGCTTATTTACTATTAACACTTTATATATTGTTGGATATTTGGGGTATTACTAAGTGTTGCTCAATTGTGAATAACTGATTATTAATTTATAATAGATTTCTAAAAGTAGAATTACTAGGATAAACTTCCAGAATCTGTAAACTTACAGATTCTTAATCTGGTATCTAATTTTTTTTTTTGTTCATGCTTCTGGAATACTGACCTGAATGTAGATTGATGGTATTATTTCCCCTCCCTCTCCTACAGTCTCATAGAGCTCATGAACTCATAGAGTTCATGTAGCTTTTTCAGAAATACTTAGATTAGACCTGTATACTGTCTGACCTAGAGCCTTTGCATGAATGTTAGTCCAGACTTTCACATACCATGTGCCACTCTTTTTTATTTCTAATTTAAATACATCAAAATTTAAATGAGTGATGATTTGTAATAAATATTAGTTTACTTTCTACATTGGCAATGGAAATACTTGAATTACATTAAATATGTATGCGTACCCATGAATATCTTTTCTTTTTCACTATTTTAGCATGGATGTATTTGAAAGATTGGGCTCAAATTCAGCTCTGACTACTTCAAAAATAGCATCATTTGAAGAAGCTTTTATTTATCTTCAAAAGTTAATGGCAGCTGTGAAGGATATCCTGGAAGGAATTCAGAGGTAAACACAATTTTAAAGTTTCATTTATTTGTTCTTTCTCTCTTTTAGGCTTTTCAGCTTTTTCAGAGTTACTAGGAGTCTTCTAGCCAGTTTTATAAATTAATAGCTTTAGATCCTACTTTTTCCTTCCCCTGCAAAGAACTCCTATTTCTAGTTTAGACCACAAGAATGTCTCTACCTTTTTCCCTTCCTACAGAAATGATTCCAGATTGTAATCTTCATGAAGAACTTTTATTTTCTTTATTGTGTAACTATAGTTCCTAGAGCAGTACCTGGCGCATAATGGATACTTAATGGTTACTTAATGAATAAATATACGTGAAGGTAATTTTTACTGATCTTTTAAAATGAATATACATTAAAACTTTCTTACATAATTTCCTCCGATACATTTTCACAGAATTACAAACTAAACTAGGTTTGAGAAGCAGCATAGTTGTATGATGCTCTGAGATTTCTATGTGATTATTTAGATATTCGTGATGCATGTGGAAAACATGGTGCCGGGAAGCTGTAGAGTGGACCACAGCACTTTATGTCATGAAATCAAATGCTTGCTTTTGTGGTTTTAAAGAAAAGTATTCTAAAATTGCTTGACATGAATTAGATAAACAATTTTCTAACAAATTGAAAAACAAAATCAAAACTGCATTGATTATTGCTATGTCCAAGTTTGAGAAACATGGACTTTCAAGAAAATCCATTTTTACTTTTCTCTGAATGGTTTTTTTAAAATTTCATTTCATTGTTAATTTAAAAGGCATTTTTACCTCTTTTTAGATCACAGCTAGGCTAAATGAGTTTTTTTCTTTTTTAGAGACACAGTCTCACTTTGTTGCCCTCGGTGGAGTGCTGTGGCGTCACAGCTCACAGCAACCTCCAACCCCTGGGCTTAGGTGATTCTCTTGCCTCAGCCTCCGGAGTAGCTGGGACTACAGGCACCCGCCACAACGCCTGGCTATTTTTTTGTTGCAGTTTGGCTGGGGCCAGGTTTAAACCTGCCACCCTCAGTATATGGGGCCGGCGCCCTACCTACTGGGCCACAGGTGCCACCCCTAAATGATTCCTAAATAAAAAATGTTCAAAGGCTTTGCTATCTTTAAATTATTAATGAATTAAGAATATGGCAGATCCTCAGACAGCTTAAATGTTAACTTCTAAGTGCAAATAGTCCCTTTATGTAACTTAATAAGAGTAGCTCCAAGAGAGTGGAACACTCAGTTCTGATTTTAGCTATATAAAAACTGTTGCTCATGCTAGATTGCATGAGAGTCATTCTATACAACAACTTCTCTTCAGAAAGTAAGGATATAAGTCTGTATTCGTTCAACAGATGTTAGTTGAGCACCAGCTATGCTTGTATCATAGTAACCACTGGGAAACAAAAGATAAAGAAGATGTACCTCAGACTCCAAACAACTTGTAGAAATAATGCAGTCACTTTAAAAGAGATCATTACAATAAAAACTATTAGTATTCTAATAGGGATATATATGCGATGGAGGGAGGAAGGATTTGGCAAAAAATGAGGCTGGATAGAGGTTGGAGGCGAGTGTCTCAGGGCATACAGAGCAGTTTCCACTTTATCCCTAGGGCTAGATTTCACATACTCAGAGCCTTTAATTATGACTTGACAGACGTGTTCCGGGTTCAAAAAGCTTGGGGAATATTTGCATACTCAACAAGGTAGGATTTCTCTGCTATAGAGAAACCTTTTTAGGAGCTTTAAAAAAAATTGATGCCTAGAACCTCACCCTAGAGATTGTGATGTAATTGGTGTGGGGTGTGCCTGGCTATCAAGAGTTTGAAAGTTTATCTAGGTGATTCCAATAGGTAGACAAGGTTGAGAACCACTAGCCAATATGCTCATCTAGTGATTCCTCAAAGCATAGTCATAATACCTTCATTGTCACTGGCTGGAACTTGTCAGAAGTGCAGAGTCTCCGGCCCTTTCAGATTTATTCAATCAGAAACTCTGGCTGTGAGGCCCAGCAGTGGTAGTCCTCCAGATGATTCTGTGCAAAGTAAAGGCTGAGCATCACTGACCTAACTAGTTCTGAGCACTGGTGGGGTTTACAGTATAATCACCTGGGAGTTAAAAAAAACCAAAACCAGTAGTTGCACCTGGGTGTTGGCATCTGTACAGCTTCCCCGTGTGATGTGTGGAGTCAGGGTTGAGAAGTTACAGCCTGTATTGCTTACATGAGCTGTATCTGAAATTTTAAGGGTGAAAAGTTTTCTTATTCTTTTCTCTTAAGGACACGTAACTCCAGAAATATAAGAAAACATTGGTGGCTCTGCTGTGTTTTAGCATGTGACATAAGGTAGATTATTGATGCTGTCTTGAGGCTTGGTCATCATTTACAAAACAGGCATCATAATACCTCCCCAGAGCATTTTATAGAGTTATTTTGTTTTGAAAGTAAGGTGTTGGTGTTACTAACCAAACCAATGTTTCTCAACTTGTTTTGGGGGGAACTTTTTAAAAACATAAAGTGTAAGGTCTTACCCTAGGCTAAGTGAAATCAGTATCTGTAGATACTGTGTAGAGCAGGAAAGTTGTATTTTTAACAAGTTTTTGAGAGCGTTTGTATGCAAATAGTGAGGGTCCACACTTAAAAATACAACTTCCTGTAACATTAGAAAGTTTTTCTCTGGGCTTGGTGCCTGTGGCTCAAGTGGCTAAGGCACCAGCCACATACACCTGAGCTGGCCGGTTCAAATCCAGCCTGGGCCTGCCAAACAACAATGATGGCTTGAACCAAAAAATAGCCAGGCATTGTGGCAGATGCCTGTGTTCCCAGCTACTTGGGAGGTGGAGGCTGGAGACTCGCTTGAGCCCAGGAGTTGGAGGTTGCTGTGAGCTGTGATGCCATAACATTCTACCCAGGGCAACAGGCTTGAGATTCTGTCTCAAAAGAAAAAAGAAAAAAGAAAGTTTTTCTCTTGAGTTACCAGTAGGGGGCGATGTGAATAAAACCGTTTGCTCAGCTAACCATTAATCTGGAAACTACACAATTGCAGTTTTCTTTTTTAACCCTTCACACAATAGACATTCAAATAAAAATGTAAAATGATAAAAGTAAATGATTGTTATTTTTTCAAGTATACACATGGTACTTGAAACAGAATCATGTTAAATTCCAAATAAGCTCTGCTTAAGAAATTTTTTTTGCTTAAATATGGATTTAACACTTTTTAAACATTGGAAATTAAGACTGGGTATGGTAGCTCATGTCTGCAATCCACTGGGAGGCCGAGGCTTACCCTTTCTGCCTGTGGACGCTGCTGAGGAAGCATGGTTGAAATTCTGTCTTCCCACTGCCCTCGCGTCTAAGTCAAAGTCTAAAGAAAGAGCCCAAACAGCTGCGGAAGCGATTCATTGGAGGGTTGAGCTTTGAAACGACTGAGGAGAGTCTGAGGAGCCATTTTGAGCAATGGGGATGCTCACAGAATGTGTGGTGATGGGAGATCCCAACACCAAGTGCTCCAGGGGCTGTGGGTTTGTCACATACGCTGCTGCAGAGGAGGTGACGCAGCCATTGATGCAGGGCCACACGAGGTGGATGAAGAGTTGTGGAACCAAAGGGAGCTGTTTTCAGAGAAGATTCTCAAAGAACTGGTGCCCATTTAACTGAAAATGATCTTTGTTGGTGGCATTGAAGATACTGAGTGGCAGACTAAAGAGACTATTTTGGACAGTATGGGAAGATTAAAGTGATTGAAACGTGACTGATGGAGGCAGAGGCAAGAAGAGGCACTTTGCTTTTGTTAATGTCCGGTGACCGTGATCCTCTGGATCAGACTGTCGTTCAGAAACACCATACTTGAATGGTACAACTGAGGTGAGGAAAGCCCTGTCAGAGCGAGAGATGGCCAGTGCTTCATCCAGCCACAGAGGTCGGACTGGTTCTGGGATCTGTGGCGGGGGTTGTGGAGGTGGTTTGGTGGAAATGACAGCCTGGGTTATGGAGGAAACCTCAGTGGTCGAGGTGGCTTTGGTGGCAGCTGTGGTGGTGGTGGATATGGTGGCAGTGGGGATGGCTACAGTGGATCTGGCAATGATGGAAGCAATTTTGGAGGTGGTGGAAGCTACAATGATTTTGGCAATTACAACAATCAGTCTCCAAATTTTAGACCTATGAAGGGAGGAAATTTTAGATGTAGAAGCTCTGGACCTGGTGATGATGGCAGCCAATAGTTAGGCAAACCACAAAGCTAAGGTGGCTGTGGTGGTTTTAGCAGTAGCAATAGCTGTGGCAGAGGCAGAAGGTTTAACTACTCCCAGGAAACAGCTTAGCATAGCTCACTACAGCCTCAAATTCCTAGCCTCAAGTGATCTTTCTCCAGTAGCTCGAATTACAGGCATGAGCCACCACACCTGGTTGATTTAGACATTTTCTTTTTGGGTAGGTGAGGAAATTTAATTAGCTTATTTACTGTTGGTTTAGGAATTGTGTCTTTCTTTTCATCTTTCATTTTATGTGTATATAGGATTAATCTGAGAATTTTTTTTTTTTTAAGAGACAGTCTCACTTTGTTGCCCTCGGTAGAGTGTCATGGTGTCATAGCTCATAGCAAACTCCAACTCTTGGGCTTAGGCAGTTCTCTTGCCTCAGCCTCCTGAGTAGCTGGGACTATAGGTGCCTGCCACAATGCCCTATTTTTTGGTTGCAGTTTGGCCAGGGCTGGGTTCAAACCCGCCACCCTTGGTATATGGGGCCAGCACCCTACTCACTGAGCCACAGGCGCCGCCCTAATCTGAGCATTTTTACTAGTTTCCTTATCTGAACACTAGAGACCCAGGGGTAACGTAGACAATTTTCTTTCCAGGTGACAAAAAAATGTCTTAAGAGCTGGACTCCATAGTATGCTGGCCCCTCAACCCCAGCAGGGGAGAGTTTTAACTTGGTCTGAGCCTGATTAACAAAAAAAGAAAAAAAAAAGTCTTAAGATTTATTTTTGAAGTCAATCCTTTTATCTAGTCTCAATTTATACTT